GCCCCACACTCCAGAACCAAGTTGGAGAAGATCTGAAACCAAAGAAGCTGTGGCCTCCCTCTTTGAGACACAGCAGGCTGTGGTTCCACTCTTTGAGACCTTAGAGGCTATAGCCCCAGTCTTTGAAAACAAGGCATGTCTGTTTCCTATGCTCCTTATCTCTTTTGCTTCTGCTTCCTGGTTCCTTCACCTCTCAGCCCCTCAGCCCTTCAGGCCTCTTGGGCCAGCCTGGCCTCTGTGCTGTTCAGGCCAAGTGTTATAAAGCTCTTTAGCTCTACCGATAAGTGTCCATAGGTGACCCACTCCACTAGTAAGGTTTAGCCTGCAGGTGCCCAGCTCTCTTGCTCTGTGTGTTGGTAAGCCTAGCTCTACCAACAAGTGCCTAGAGGCACCCCCTTCTGCCAGGAGGCCTCCTGCCCAAAGGCTCTGCTCTCTCACTCCATGGGACAACTCCTGTACCATCTTGCATTGGTCCTGGCTCTGCTGCTGCCATTTCTCTTACTGCTGCTTTTTACCATCTGCACCATCTCTAATGTTACAGATCTCCTCACTTGCTTCAGAGCTCTCATCAGAATTGTCTTTGATGTCCATAATTCCACCAAAAGTCTCTTCAAGGCAATCTAGGCTTTTACTATTAGACCCCTCAAAACTCTTCCGGCCTCTACTCATTACCCAATTCCAAAACCATTTCCACACTTTATGTATCAGAGCAGCACCCCACTCCCAGTACCAAATTCTGTCTTGGTTATCCAGTGCTGCTATAATGGAAATACCACATGGGGATGACTTTAACAAATAGAAATTTATTCTCTCACAGTTTAGGAGGCTAGAAATCTAAATTCAATTTGCCAGCTCTAGGGCAAGGCTTCCTGTCTCTGTTGGCTCTGGGGGAAGGTCCTTATCTCCTCTCAACACCTGTGGGCCCAGTGTTCCTTGGAGATCTCCATGTATCTTGGCATTAATCTTCCCCTGCATCTAGGAAGCTCTCAGTGCAGGGATCCCAGGTCCAAAGGATGTACTCCGCTCCTGGCTCTTCTTTCTTGGTCGTAGTATGCCCCCCACCCCCACTCACTCCTCTCTTCTTTTATCTCTTGCAAGATAAAAGGTGATGCATGGCACATTGCAAGGAAACTCCCCTTATGTGACCTGAGTAAATGTGTTGCATCCCATCTTAATTCTCCTACAACTGACAACTGACTGGCAGATCACATGAAAGATGATCACATCATTATATAACTGCCAAATTACATCATTACATAATCAAACCACTGAGAATCATGGTCCAGCAAAGTTGAAAACATACTTTGGGAGGACACGATTCAATCCATGACAGCCATGCTCTCATTCATAAAGTAGCTACTGCCCACACAGTAGGAGCTCTGGTGCTGTAGTGCCTAAGGCATTTGACTGTTAACCAGAAGGCTTGCAATTCAAATCCACCAGCCACTCCTTGAAAGGAAGATTGGGCAATCTACTTCCATAGTGATACCGCCTCAGAAATCCAAGGAGAGGTCACTATGAATCAGATTCGACTCGATAGCAGTCAGTTTAGTTGGTGCCCACACAGTGCTAAAGAGTCCAATATAATATATATTCTCTCTCCAGAGATAAACTAGCAGGCTCTTACTTTATGGAATGTTTTAGGATGTTGCTCACTACCTATCTTATTCCCTATGTTGCTGAGTCAGGCTTATAGAGGAACACTTTTGAAGTAGCTGGTTGGTAAAAGTAATCACTAAAAGATGCTTTAAGCACACTCACTATGCCATATTATGATTCAAAGAATAACTCAGTAGACCCATTCTGTAGACTCACATCCTCATCACTGCTTAAGGCTGCCAGAAGACCATGAGATTTCCAGGTTCAAGAAAATAATAATCTTTTCAAAAAACAAGTCTTTGTGCTGGAAAGAGACAGAAGGATGGGAGAGAGGAGGTAAGCAAGTATTCCTAAAAACGGTACTCCCTGCATTTTAGATATTCAGTGATTTGGTAACTAAACAAATTGCTAATCACCATTACTTAGGGGAAAGTTGTGAAACTAAGGGCTACAGCAGTCTGCATACTGAGATGTCCTGTGACAAGATCAAGAGCCTAAAGGGGCACTTCGCACTCCACTCAAATGTCAGTTTAAAATCCAGGAGACTAATACCATACTCTTGATTAACACATTTTTGAATTAGGTTTACCTAATAATCAAGAGAGTTCCTGGGTGGTGCAAATGATTAATACATTCAGCTGCCAACCAAAAGGTTGGGAGTTCAAGTCCAAACAGAAAAGCCTCAGAAGAAAAGCCTGTCTATCTCCTTCTAAAAAAGTCAGCGTTGAAACCCCATGGGGCACAGTTCTGCTCTGACACACGTGGGGTTGCCGGGAGTCAGAACTGATTTGACAGCAACTGGTTAATATTCAACAAACTATAAAAAATACATGGTAAAGTAATAACAAAGATTCCCATCGATTTTAAAGAAAAAGAGAAGAGGAGGAGTGTTTCTGAACAACCAAGACAAGTGAAGTTGGAGGATCCCAATGAACGGAGACTGTTAACCAAACTGCAGGTGGAGGAGCTCACGTGGGGTTTCTGCAGAAGGAGAGGAAAAGCTGCAGCCTCTGGGACGAGGCCTGGCTGTGCAGCGCCTCCAGCCAGGGTGTGGATAGACTCAGTGCCCGAAGGGCTTTGGGGATATATTTTTCAGTTATATTCAAACAGTGGTGAGTTAGAGTATTCAGAAATCATAGCCGGAATCTTCTGGGTGAAAGGTAGCGTCCTACATCTAAAATAAATATACTTTAACATAAGAATACTAAATTCGAAGTCTACAAGTTCCCATCCTTTTGTTCCACCCCACAATTCCAATAAGCCAAATTCCTACAGGTTCGGCTATTCCAATAAATCAAATTCCTATAGGTTCAGCTATATTGGTTGAAAGTCATTTTGTTTGTGAAGTTATGGAACAAAGGATACATTCTTTCCTTTGCCAAAAATATTACCCAAACAGGTTTATGGCTGGAGAATGCAAATACTGTAATTTGAAAAAAAACAAAAAGCCACTGCACGGAAAGGAAATGTGGTAACAGTGGTCAGGGTGAAAAAATGAGGAATCTGCATACCTCTGTTGTAATGCAGTTTGACCACTGACACATGTTAGACAAAAAGGACAGTTCCATGTGCACTTCCACATCTGCTGCTAGATCTTGTTTTTGCTGCAGAGAAGTAGATTCAGAAAAAGGGACTACACACACACACAAACACACAGCATCTTCTAAATTTGCAGAGAATGCAGCATAGCTGTTTTAAGTATGGGCTTTTCTTGTTTATCAGACAAAGAAATCAGGGCTAGTCCACCTGTGCAGCTAGTAAAGAAGGAAAAGCAGGGTCAGAGGGTTCAGAAATAATATTATACAGAGTGTCCCACAGCGTATTCTGTGGAACACTGGTTCCAGGAGACAGCCTAAGGAAAAGGGGTTCAATGGCTGACTCCTCAAAGGCTCTTGAGAAACAAAACCTGATTCATTTGGCTTATTCCAGCACTTCCTAAACTTATTAGGCCACAGATCTGTTTTCTTCTAGAAACAACTAAGTGCATCCCAAGAACTACTGCTTTTGACCACACTGAGAGATGCTGAGCTGGCTTAAAATGGGGCATCAGGGAATAAACATGTATTTTCAAGGCAGGTGGAGAATATGTGAATCTCAAGGAAAATTCCACAAAAGTTAGACTCATTCTGAAATACAATTTTGCTTCTTCTTCTATCATTTAGTATTGCTAACAACTTCTAGGTAGCCGGAAGACTGAGCCATTCAAAAAAGTGAAATAAAATTGGACAAATTAACTTCCATAGTTCTGTCACTCAGCACACTGGGCCCTATGTTAAAATTAAGGTTTCATTGCATAATTCATGGATGCAACTAGAAAGCCCAGGAAAGCATCTGAGTATCTACTACTACTTTGACCTCTTTTCACAGGCTACCTGAAGGTCTCACTGAAACTCATGGCGACCCCTCCTTGGGTTTCTGAGGTGGTATCACTACGGAAGTAGATTGTCCAACCTTCCTTCCGAGGAGTGGCTGTTGGGTTTGAACTGGCAGCCTCCTGGTTAGCAGTCAAATGCCTTAGGTACTACACCACACTAGAGCCAACTAAATTCTGAATTCAGGATTCAACTACATCAGACTCAGAAACTGAGCCAATCTAAAACCATCTTCAGAGTCTTAAAAATCTCGCCAGAATTTTCAGAACTTTCTAATTACTCCACCCACCCACCCCACCCTAGAGACTCTGTCCAGTGAATGAATGATTTACAAGCTGCCTCCCAGATAAAATGTCCCCAGATTTTCCATCTGCATCATGAATTCCCTAAGGTAGGCCTTCCCACCTCTCTGCCTCTCATCTACACCCCAAGGTGCATCCCTCAGCTTTCACAGAACACACTCTTCAAGGAGTTATATGGCTCCATCAGCCGCTGCGGCTCCTTTGTCAGGGTGTGAAACCATGACGCAGGCAGAAGGCCCGTCATTCAACCTGGCAGAGGCCAACATCAGAAGGAATAAGAAAAGTGAGAACCACTGCCCCAGAACAGTGTGTCTCACAATGTGACAGTCATAACCGCCTTTTTTCAATGAAGTGGAATCAAAAATACTAGAGCAATGTGCATAAGTACTTTTTTTGTAATTCACAAAATATTTTTCAATAATATTTATATTAAAAAAAAAAGAAGAGAGAGACAAGAAAGAGATAGAAGTAGGTGATATAAATCTGACCAACCAAGGTGGTTGCAGTGTGGAAGCACTTCAAAGTCACAGGTGTTCTGTAACATGATTCTAAGGGCTACATCTACCAGGCTAGGTTTAGGCACACAATTTGTAAAAGACCATAGCTTATTTTAAAGGTGGTGGATTTAACTTCAAGCCTTTCTCTGTCTGGTCTCTCTGGCCTAGAAATCCAAAAAGATTGTAAAGGCCAAGTTTCAAGCTCCAAGGCAACCTTCTGAACAACTTACCTCAACTTCCACCTTCGTGAAGGGCTGGCAGAAAGTGAGCATGCAAAGTTGAATGCTGAAGAGAAAAGATGGAGAGTTCTCTTTTCATGGTATTACAAGTATCATCTACTGGCATTCAACAATCCTTTTTTTCACACTTCCCCTTCCTTTTGTCATGCTTCATATATATTATTTTGCTTTTATCAATGCCACACTGCGAATATAACCCTTCTTGGGCTTAGACAACCATTCCTGATATTTAAAGTGAAATCACCAAAGGCGATACCAACTATGTATGTGTGAGTCAGAGCTGCAGCTCAGCTGACTAAACCCCAAATTTGAAGTCTCCTTGGCAACAAGGACTCATAGGCCTAATTCCCCAGGGACACTATCCAAGGCTACATTTTGAGGTATAGAAATAAAATGTGTTTATAAGCAGACTCCAGAATAGAACATTACATTTCTAAATTCTTTTCTGATATTAAAAACAATCAGTGAGCCTTTCCTTAAAAGCAGAAACCTTATCATAATTGTCTCAGTACCTAACAAAAGTTTTAGTTATGAGGAAAATTGCTGAAAAGTTTCAAATTTCATTGGGAAGCCAGACAAAGACTTTTGTTACAGTGGTTAACCAACACTCTCAAATATAATTTTTGGAATAGTTGTTCCTACTTGTAGGCTTGCAATACATATTTAGCCTCCCTGGATAAGACTTCTACGGAATTTTTAGTTTAGCCTTATTTAGACAGATGATCAAGAAATCGGGCAGAATGTATTAGACTACACAGTTAAGAAAACAACCAATCAATCTATTTTCCTAGTAATAAATTAATGTATGATTTATCTGTAAATACCAATCAAAGGGGTAGTTAATATAAGGAATTTAAACAAGGAAGTTAGCTAAATGAAGGAATTTAGGAAACAGGAGAATTTAGGCAATCAGAGACTTCATAACTAAGTATAAATTGTTAATGTAAGTGTCAGTTCTCAAACTTTCTGTCTGAAAGAGGAAAAAGATTTTATTATTAACCAAGCAAATAAGGTCAATCTACATTATCCACCATAGAGTAAACTGTTTTTTTAATGAGTTAAAATAAGCTTTGGAATTCAATTATTTGTTAGATGCATGTTCTGTTCTATAAATTCTGAATGTTGTAAAGAAAACAAACTCCTCGTAAGATCTCATAAAATCTGTCTTGCCCACACTACAGACAAGCCAAACAACACTGACGCAAAACAGCTTCTTCAGACCTGCCTCTTCTCTAAATTTACTCCCTGCCTCTCTTCTCCCTTAGGACATACTCTGTGGCTTAAATTAAAATCTCTCCCTTAAGCTCTGATTCCAGAGCAGCACCAGAAGCAAGAGCAATGGACAGAACTGCATGAAGCAGACCCGAAGACAAAGGTGAAAATGAGATTTGTTATATAGACCAGCACAGTGCTGCATTTGGACAAAACAAAGGTATGCCTTTGAAAGTTTTTGCATTTGTTTATAGGTCCCAGGAAATCCTCTAACTCTTGAAATATTTTTTTCACTGTCTTTTCCTGAATATTCTCCCCTACTTTCTTTCTCCCTTTATCACATACTTCCCAAGTTCGAAGGCTGGATTAACCAAACCAAACCACTCAATTTTCTACCCCTCATCAATCCCCCTTCCAGAGAAGCCTTCTTCTACTGCATCTTCACATCCACCTGGATGGTTGCACAACCAAAAAGAGTCACAGTGACCACAGTGTGAAGCCAAAGGCACCATCTCTGTAAGGAACTTAACTAATAAAGACCCAAAGGATGGGAAATACCAATATGCTACCCATCCAATTTTCAGGCCCATATTTGTCTAAAATATCCTCTTATTACTAGCTTCTCTTAATTTCCCCTCTGTAGAAAAGCTGAAAACAAGGACCTCAAATCCAGTAGGACAATGAAAATATTTTCTAGCTGAATGAAGAAATTGATTTCCTAGAAAGTTATACAAAATATAACGTCTAGATATCCTTTGCAATTTTTGTTACTTCGGGTGCTGTTGGCTTAATTTCAAGTGCCAAGGACTGAAGCATAACAGAAGCATAAGTATCTCATGTGTGTTAATGTTTATTCCACTGGCCCATTGGTTACCTATTCTAATTTAAATGAATTATTTGAAAGCAATATACACACATACAGAAAAAAAATGGAGAAACTAAGTATGCAACATAAAAAAAAGGAAAAACTGCAATTCTCAGAAGTTTGTTGGATGATTTAAGAGGTGTCTAATGACCACCACGTGCTTGAAGGCAATGATGATTTCCCTTTAAATATTGTCAAGTGGTTGTCACCTACCCATCACCCATGATATCTGAGCTCTGTGCATAGCACAAATCAAAAAGCACTACTGGCTAAGTCCCTGGGGAAAGTTTTCAAATCCAGGTGTCTCAGGTGGCTCTCACCAAAATTTAAACAAGTTCAGATTTATCCAAGGGGAACCAAACAAAGCATTTTCCTGAGAGAAAATAAGACTCTACATGTTGGGTTCTTTTTAAAAGACTCTCTCACTGTAGCTTGCTTATTAGTGAAACTGCATTCCCTGCCTCTCTTCAGTGCTGACAGAAACTGCTGATCCCTATGCTTTTAAAATCCAAGAATGGAACTGAAAGCTTGGTTGGCTATTTTCTTAACGCAAATCAGACACATCATAACTATTTCCGGCTATATGACTAAAGTGCTCTGGGCTGTTCAAACCAATACAGGAAAGTAAGTAATGGTGGAGACATTAGATAATAAATCTGCAAAGGAAATGAAACTACAGAATTGAAGCTAAGTATGATGCAAACTAGGCCACTAGAATGTTCCTTAAGAACTCGTCATGAGAACATGATAGCTGATGAGAATTCTGCACAGAGAGATCCCAGAGATTAGTGGGAAAGACAGTGATGTTCTCTGCAGAGACCTCTCAGTTATAAGATTTAAGATTCTGATTAGAAGTCTTCACGTTTATAAAAGCCAGACTTTTATTTAAAAAAAAAAAAAAATCTTTCTTCTTCACTAAAATTTACATAAACTAATAAGCAACTAATTAATTTATATAAACTAATAATAAGCAACTTACAATGTATATCCTTGCCACGTCCAGGTCACAGTATCCTACAATAATAAAAGTAGTTAAACTGTTAGTCCAGAGAAAAAAAATTACCAAATAAAACAAAAATTTTATTTTAATATTTGTAGTCATTTATTTTTTCCTGAAATAAAAAGCAATATGAATATTATTATATTAAACAACACTATTAATTAGTAATAGTATCAATCATCAGTGAGTTGATTTACTAATCCTTGGTTTAATATAGCTACATAGGAAGATCTGTCTTCCTTAGTTCACCACTTGTTTTTTAAATGTAGACAAGTTGCTCTAAATTTTTTTATAATTTTTTAAATTATTGTGCATGCTTAGTTATTTTTCACTCCTAATATGAACATACATAGATGACTGATTTGCTTGTAAAAACCAGACTTGATCAGTTCTAAAGGAAAAAAAAAGAATTATTTAGGAGAAAAGATTAAAATACTGTATAATCAAATAATTTGAAAATATGATAAATTCAAACCTATAGGCAGGAGTACACTGAGTTAAAGTTTGATAGATTTTTATTTCTTTTAAAAACTTTTGTTGTTGCTGCTGTTGTTGAGAACACACAGCAGAATATACACGCACTCAGCAACTTCTGCACACGCCGCTCAGTGACGATGACCACTTTCTCCCAGTCGGCAGCCATTCTCACCCCCATTTTCTGAGCTGTTCCTCCCCTGTTCACATAAACTCATTGTCTATCTAATCTTTTGAGTTGCTTTCTCAGTCTGATCCCATACACAGAGTTCCTACAAGAACATAATACTCAAGGCAGACATTTTTTAATACTTAACCTAAACTCTGGTAGCATAGTGCCTAAGGCACTTGACTGCTAACCAGAAGGCTGGCAGTTCAAACCCACCAGCCACTCTCGGAAGGAAGATGAGGCAATCTACTTCTGTAGTGATACTGCCTCGGAAACCCAAGGAGGGGTTACTATGAGTCTGATCCGACTTGATGGCACATAACAACGACAACTAGTTGGTTTAAGGAAGACTTCAAAATGCAGAACAGAACTTCAAATTCTTGTAGAATCAAGACTTTCTGGAACACCAAGGCTGGATGAACACCAAAAACAATTGCCCTAAGATATAATCTTTAAACTTAAACAAAAAATAACCCCTGAAGTCAATTTTTTTAAAAAAAAAAAAAAAAAAAAGGTCCAAGTTTGAGAAACTAGCCACTGAGTAGAAAGTTAAATGGAACAGGAACTCTCAAATTTCAGCATCACAGATAATAATTTTCCAATTGCTGTCAAGTCGATTCTGATTCCTGGTGACTCGAGGGGTACAGGAGGAGAACTGTGCTCTGTGGAGTTTGCAATGGATCCCCAAGCCTTGTTCTGAAGTGCTTCTGGGTGGACTCCAACCGCCAAGGTTTCAGTTAGCAGGTGAGCCTATTCACTGTTTGTATTACCCAGAGACTTCAATGAAAATTATCTTATGGACAAATATTGCATTAGTCCACTACTGTAACAAGTCAGGGAAAGGTTTATACAGGAAAGGAAATTTTCTTTGTTGGTTACCAGGGATGGGAGGGAAGAGGAGGGAAAATTTCTAGATAAGTTGAAAATATAAATAAATAATAAATACATATACCTCGACTCAAAGCAACTCCTCCTTGGGTTTCCGAGGGGGTAGCAGTATCTCTACAGAAGTAGATTGCCCAGTCTGCCTTCCGAGGAGTGGTTGGTAGGTTTGAACCACCAGCCTTCTGGTTAGCAGTCAAGTGCCTTAGGCACTACGCCACCAGAGCTCCTAATAAATATTTATATATATATAAAATTTATCTATATAACATATGATTTATATATATATTATGTATATACAAATATATATAACATATATTGTATATATTTACATATATAATATATACATACATATAGGGTTACCGAGGGTAGGAGGAAGGCGGAAAGGGGAAGCTTTTGTTTAGGAGGTACTGAGTTTATGCTAATGGTGGTAGAGCATTCTGGGAAAAGATCGCAATCATCGTGGCACAACATGAAAAAAGTCATCAATGTCCCTGAGCTGTAAATGTGGAAGCTGTTATGTTGGCAAATGTCTTGTGTATGTTTTCGCCACAATAAAAGTGAAAAAAAAAAAAATCTGCTGCCTTTTTATGTCCATTCCCTAGTAAAGAAAGTTCTTCTTAGAACCAAAAACATACTCCTTCCTTATATGTTGTTGTTATTTGCCGTTGAATCGGCCCCAACTCATAGGGACCCCTCCTTGGGTTTCCAAGGCAGTATCACTATGGAAGTAGATTGCCCAACTTTCCTTCTGAGGAGTGGCTGGTGGGTTTGAACCACCAGCCTTCTGGTTAGCAGTCAAGTGCCTCAGGCACTATGCTACCAGAGCTTCTCTTCCTCATATATATATATATAATTATTATTATTATATTATTTTCTTTAGGAAAAATGGTGTCCCAATCAGCAATGTCCCCAGCTGGAGTGGACAGAAACTATTCCTGAGCTAACTCTGAACTTTATATACCATGCTGTGGTAGTTCAGTTTGTGTGTCACCTTGGCTGGGCCTGGTTGAGTGGCTGGGCAACTGGTGGTAGTTATTCCCCATGATAAGACTGGTAATCAACTCCATGGTGGAATCTACTATGAGCAGCTGAGTAGCTGCCTTAGGGAATGTGGTCTCCTTCCTGTATATAAGCAGAAGAAGCCTTGGGGAATGGTCTCTAGCTTATGGCACGCTTGGGCTCTGCATGTAGCCATGTCGTTGTTAAGCAGTCTGCCATGCTCTGCTGACCTGGGGACTTACAGTGGACTTGAATTAATGGCCTGCCATATGGTTTGGTAACATCAGGACTGTGCCTTGTTACTTGTCAACCTTGGGCTTGTCAGCCTCAGCAGCCAGAAGCTGTCTGAGTGAAGAAAAGCCTCTAGCTCCAGTGGGCCCGGAGCAGGAGGCAGAGCTGAAGCCCAAGACTGAGGGGCTTTCACCCAGCCCCTAGAGCCTGGCACTTTGAACTTGGACTTAAAGCCTCCAAACTGTAAGAGAATAAACTCCTGTTTGTTAAGGCCATCCCATCTGTGGTATATTCTTGTCAGAGCGGCACTAGGTAACCAGAACACACGCTAAGTTCTTTTCAGGTATTATTTAATTTAGTTAAACAAGTTATCAAGGGTCACACAGTTAGTAAGTACTGAACCAGTAATTAAATGCCAGGTCTTTCCCAAATTTATACTATTATTTCAATCCTTCTCCACCAGGAATGGTCATTGAAAAAGGAAGTTTACTTCTGGGTAAGTGAAAATCACAAATTCATGCATGTTTTCTAATGTTCCTTCTACTGAGACCCTGAATCTGAGACTTCACACCATCAGAGCGACAACAGAGTGGAGGCTAAGGAAATGTCTTCCTGAATCTTAGTAATAACACAGTATTTCAGTGGTTTTAACAAATATGTGCCTGTCTTACAAAAATTTAAAAAGTAAATGTGATAAACTGAATGAGTGAGTCTACTCATTTACCTACTTGTTTATCTATTCATACCTTATTTAAATATTAAAAGTAGTCCTAGGGAACTTGTGCTGTTTGGAATGCTTATCTTCCACAATAAAACATGATGCTTACCAGTTTGTTTGGGTATCTGATGAGTATTGGCTGCACTGGAACTCCAGGAATGAAGGCTCCTAGAACCACAATGAAATTTTATGATGTGTTGTTATTCTAAGAAGAGTTATACAATAAAGAAAAAAAGAAATGGTATATTGGGGATTTTAAGAATATAAGAAATCATTTTCCAAATGTCGATAAATTCCTAGCACTGACCAAAACCAGGGATTTTTAAAATTCAGGATTATTTAAGCAAAATATTAAATACTGTGCCTAAGTCACTTAAAATATTGACTTATACCCCCACTTGTTTTTACTTTCCAAATACCTATGTTTGATAGGATTGAGAAAAGAGGAGGGGGGGATGACAAAATCAAAGCAAAGAGAAAATAAGGAGAAGACTATCCAGAGAACAGCAAATGCTTGAAGCAAGGACACCACACCTGCGAAGTGAAGCACACCTTTGGCTCTGAGCAGTCAAGCAGCCAACACAAAACATCGGAAAGTACAACAAATTACTATGAAACTTGCGTTCAAGACTTAACAACGTTAAAGAAGGAGTGAACCTTGGAAGGCATTTCAAACATTATAAAGGTAATTGTGATAGTTGGAGGTGTGTGTCAACTTGGCTGGACCACAATTCTGTGTGGTTTAAGTAATTGTGATGTGGGTGGTTCCAATGATGGGATTAGATATATATGTTCTGAGCAGCCAATCTGTTGAAAGGGAGTTTCCCTAGGGGTGTGGCCTGCTTCCAGTATATTTATGGACATCCTGGGAAAAGAGACACTCTTCTGTGGATCAGGATTCTATTGTGCTGCCTACAACTGTCCGTGGGAGATCTTGGATTCATCATTCGTTGGAGTCAACAGCCGCCATTATACTGCCTGCCAACCTTGAGCTCCTCAGCCCCTGCAGCTGTGTGAGTTGGGAAAAGCCTCCAGCTTGACATTTGATCCAAGAACTTAGGACTTGCCAGCTTCTATAAGTGTGCAAGCCATTTTCCTAAGATAAATTTCTCTTTCTCTCTCTCTATAAGCTTTACTGGTTTTGTTTCTCTAGAGAACCCAGTCTAACACAGTAATGAAATAGGTTTTCTCTTTGGTGGCATAGGACCCCAAGGGTCTGTGAGGATGTCCTTCAAGACAAAAATAAATAAATAAACCTACCAGTGGTTTCTAACCCCGCAGCCCCAGGTGCACCAAACATACACAAAGGAGAGGACACTCCAGGGAGGAGGAGGGTGTGGTGGCAAAACCGGAAAGTAAAGGAGTAACTTCTGTGATTTTACAACGTTAAAAACTTCTATCAGAAAAGAAGAAATGTTCAGAGCAGCCTAAAGAAGAGTTATTTTGTGTACTGCTGTGGAATCATGTGAGAAAGTTCCCATGCTGATGTGTCACAATAGGTAATTTAATTTATCTCACCTGGTTTAAAGGTAATCAAACAGGAGCGATTAGTACAAGTACCCTCTGGGAAAACTAGTATCTTGGGAGAAAAGGAATACATTTAATATTTCAGTCTACTTAATAGATTACCTTTTTATGAGCTTTCTTATGACTTTACAAATAGCTGCCAATTCTTAAAAAAAACAAGGAAAAATGCAACAAAAGGCTAATACTTGATTCCAATGAAAACTAGAACTTAGTTTTCCATGAAAACAAATGCAGTCTGACAAAATAAGATAATCAGAAAATGGATTTAAGCTTTGAACAGAGAATATACTTGTTTCTTCATGATGATACTAATGATCTACAAAAACTTCAAAGAAGATGGAGACCTTGAGTCATGGTCAAAGAGGATATGAGGCCATATGCTGCTATCCATCTTTAACCAAATCACTTCCTGTATCTTTGCTTCAGTTTTCCCATTACATGATATTCACTCCCACAACATACATTTTAGAGCTGTCTTGAGGACAAGGAAGGAAACAAAATTTGCTTTATGTGTACTTGAACTAGTTGAAATATGGAATATAACTTAATATCTTTTTTTAGGAAGTATGTTTAGCTTTGAATGTACTTCCTATGCTTTCCATGTGAAAGATACTCAATATAGTTAATCTCCCCATTAACGGAATAAAAAAGCAGCTGGATTTTATGAAGCTTTTAGAAATCCCAAAAACAAACGCACTGCCACTGAGTTGTCTCCAACTCATAGTGACCCCTCCTTGGGCTTCTAAGGCAGTATCACTACGGTTGCCCAACCTTCCCTCCGAGGAGTGGCTGGTGGGTTTGAACCACCAGCCTTCTGGTTAGCAGTCAAATGCCTTAGACACTATGCCACCAAAGCTCCCTTTAAGAAATTAGCAGTGAGTAAATTAATAAGTATACAAAACCAAAAAAGAAAAACCTTATACTCATAGCAGTTAGCAATGTGTATTTTATAAAAGTTAGAGAAGAAAAATACTAGGCTAAATTGTTACAACTGTCTAATTGTTAGTTATAAAATAAAAACTATGAATAGGTGTAATGCCAACCTCCATAATTAAAAAAAATTATGACTTCATATGACAGTAATATATATCAAATATTATTCATTCAATGGAAATTCTATAGTTACACTATAATTAATGTATGTAGAAGGAATCATAAAATCTTGGTGTGGAAGAGGCATTAAAAGTCAACATAACATTTCTAATGCTTGAATTCTTTCTACAATATCCCCCCCAAGTGGTTGCTTGGCCAATGCTTTTTAAAAAGTCCAGAAAGGGAATCCAAAGCAGACCATTCTTCAACATGAGCTAAATGGGCTAACCTCGGTCTACTTGTTATCTCCCACATACCACTCCTAGATATATATTCCTTGGCTACAAAGGGAGCTCTGGTAGCATAGTGGCTAAGACACTTGCCTGCTAACCAGACGGCTGGCGGTTCAAACCCACCAGCCACTCCTTGGAAGGACGGTTGGGCAATCCTACTTCCGTAGTGATACTGCCTCAGAAACCCAAGGAGGGGTCGCTATGAGTTGGGTTTGACTCGACGGCACATAACAACAACAACAACAACAAAGAGAAAAACAAAAACTGCCAGCTTTTTGCAATCATTCTTCACATGGATTGGTTTCTAAAACCTCCTGGTTGGTCATACTCCTCTTAGTAGTTTACCATCTTCATGTCATCATGAGTGGCCAGATTGCCACAAGGCCATTTTTTTTCTTCTCAAGATCAAGGAGGCAAAGGTAGAGAGGGGCTTATCAGAATCTCCCATGAGGCTTTCTTTATGCAACATATACTATCCATCCCACATCCTCAAAATATCGGGTCATTGTGGGGGAAGGGGGGTGGTGACGCATAGCTTGAAAAAGTCCTACAGGCGATTTTGATATGTACATGAATTGACAAGCACTACCTAAATATACAAGGAGCTCTGGTAGCATAGTGCCTAAGGCACTGGACTACTAACCAGAAGGCTGGCGGTTCAATCCCACCAGCCACTCCTCGGAAGGAAGGTTGGACAATCTTTCAGTAGTGATACTGCCTTGGAAACCCAAGGAAGGGTCGCTATGAGTTGGGTCTGACTCGATGGCACACAACAACAACAACAACAACATCTAAATATACTTCAGATAAGATCAAAGATCCTATTCACCTTGTCAGTAAACTCAGCATATTGTTGAGTACAACTGGGCATTAGTATCTCATCTCTAAAATGGTAGTTTGATTCAGAGGTAGAGAATTATTTTACATGACATAAAGTTAAAGTATGGTTCAGAGTCAGGAGAATTTAAAAAAAGAAAAAAGATATATTTATGTCCCTGGAGTATCACCTGGGGAAGAGACTTCCTAGTATTCACTGCTTCATCTATTCTGCATCTATTCTGCAGAAGACACCTAGCATAGATGCCAGATATTGCTATCTCTGGATCCAAATGAGTATATTTACGAAATTACAATAATAAACTCTCAGTATTTTAAATGAACATCTACTGTGGTTTACCTGGGGCCATTCCCCTCTTGAGGTTGCTCGCTTTTTTATTTCATTTATTGTGGTTTTTCGTGAATCCGGATCTACACGGGAGACCAACACTGGTTGCAAAGCCCGTAACAATCCTTTAAAATAAACAAGAAAAACATAAGCAAACAATTTCTCTCTTTTTAGTTTTATTTGATTTTTTTGTCTGAAGCTACTGGGGCAATGATAATGGATAAATAATTAAAACAAATTTGACAGGAAATTAAAATGATAGTACATCAGAAAAAAAAAAAAAAGCAACTAAAAAAACCAACCCTCCAATTCAAAGTTCATTAGAACTTAAGTTTCTAGTTTCCAAAGAAGAGGTGAATGTTTATACCTAAAGCCACTTCACTGATTTAACAAAAATAAGTAGCAAGAACATGAAAGGAAGCAAATATAATTTTTTCCCTCGAAGTTCTCTTCACAATTGTCATTAAACCTTTGGAATAGATTACAAGTTTATCTTGTTTTATTGTAGGAATAATATGAAAACTGATGATGCGAATTCACAGTACAGATAATATAGGGAGAAATTATTATTCATTTTACTAAAATTTTCAGCAAAACATCCTTCTATGTAAGTAACTTCCTACCACATGCAAAATAAGCCTCAATTTACCAAAAACATATTGCCACACAACTTTTCAGGAACTAGTTATATTATACAAAACAAAGTAGTTACTTTTTTTTTTTCCCCTAAGTGTCTTTCTCAGCCGAATGACAAAGCTATAGGAACTAACACTACTTCTCCAGAGCACCAAGGCAACATCAGGCAACTTTCACAGCCACTCTCTCATCACTCGATGTTTGCCGTAATCTTGGGACAACCGGGAGCAGTTACTTGGAGACTAGTACTTTAGGGAGAGACCAAAGCATCTGGTGGGAAAAACATTTCACTTGCTTCATTATTTTTTATGGCAGGAAGCACTTATTGTTCCACATCATAATTTTCAAAGAGTTACACACTGATCCCTCATGGAGATTCTGGGGTAATGATGAAGAAAACAGAGTTAGAAGAAAAGACACAATGCCTTTATCAGTCTAAGAAGCTGAAGAGAAATTTCTGAGGCAATAGGTAAACTGGGTCTTTTCACAAACTCTTTAGTTAAACTCTCTCAGAAAAATCAAGCATGTCTGCTATTTAAAAATTGGTCTTTCAGTCACATATAAGAAAAGACATGATGGTACAGTAACAAAGAGGGGTTTTAAAAAGAATTATGAGGGTGCAGGCAGGGAAGTCTCTAATCCTTTTTCATAAATTCATTCTTTCAATATAGTATCCTCATGAAAAAGAAGAAATGCACTTCATATGTTTTATTATTTTAAAATTTCTTAACAAAGCCTACCAATAAATTTGATATGACTTGAAAATTTAAAGTGTGAGCACGAAAATACTTTGTCACCTCACAAGTACTTACTGCCAATCAGAGGCACGTGTGCATTCTCATTTCGAGACACCATAGAAGGCAGCCCAGCTACGATGCAGGCAATTCCATCGAAGAACGTTGAATGAGGGGCAACAACAAAAATTGGTGCCTCTAAAGGGCTTGCAATCTTCCCTTTCACAGTAACTATAAACCCCATTGAGAAGAACATGGCCTGGCCCAGAAACTTCAAAGCTGGTTGAGTAACTTTCCTTTGAAAATAAATTTCAAAAAGACATAATTAGCTTTGCCAACTAAAGCTAACAACAGGGATTTACTCTAAAATATAAGAAAACCAAAACATGTCAGAGCACTTTATTTTAAAATATGTGCTAAGAAGAACAGCTAACACATGGAATTCTGTCTTCCAGGCATTGCTCTAAGTGCTTTATGTGTATTAATTTATTTCATCCTCAGTACAATCTTGGGAAGAAGCTATTACTATTATAGTCCTATTTTACAGATGAGGAAATAAGGCACAGAGCAGTTATAGTAATTTGCCCAAGGACACACAGCTATAAAGTGGTTACTACAACGTCATAAGAATATGTTTTCAACATGCCTCCCTTACTGAGACATTGAAATGAATACCAAAAACCACAACCAAACCCACTGCCATCGAATTGGATCCGACTCATAGTGACCCCTCCTTGAGTTTCCAAGGCGGTATCTCTACGGAAGTAGATTGCCCAACCTCCCGAGGACTGGATGGTGGGTTTGAACTGCCAGCCTTCTGGTTAGCAGTCAAATGCCTTAGGCACTACGTCACCAGAGCTCCTACCCAAATGAGTACTGCCATTCAAAGTAGTCACCGTGGGAATCTATTTGTGCAATGAAGATGGTTCTAGTTCCCAAAACATTTTTAGAACTCTCATGCTGAAAACTTCCTGAGTTATTTTAGGAATAACTTCTCAAAGTAAGCCTCATTATCTATAACCAGAGTTCTTATACATCATCAGAAAACTTAACAAGTGAAGTCACTACCTCCCTCACTTCCTTGGAACAGAGATGCACATAAACCACTCTAGAAATTTAATTGTTGACTTAAGCAAAAAAAAGAAATCAGCCATTAAGAATTAATTAATCAAACTGTGCCAGGAATGATGCCTGGCACATGAGACAAGTAAGATCCAGTCTCTGTCCTCAGTAAGTTCAGTGGAGGAGGGAAATAGTAACATGGTTCTAGTGATGCAAATGCAGGATGCACACATCCATCTGTAAACACAGGATGCACATATCCATATGTAAATAAGCATGTAGCTTTTCACCAAAAAAAAAAAAAAATACATGTACCTTCTCACACACAAGACATCCAATAGGAGCTTTCAAAAATAGGCTTCTTTCAATGTTTCCTTTTGTTATACATGGGGTCACCAGGAGTTGGAGCCCAGTCTATGGCAACTCTCTAATTCTCCCCACATTCTTGTTACAATATAGAGAGGCGCTATTGGCAACTAGCTACCGAGGAAGTTCCTGTAACTTTTATTTCACAGCAAGGAAAGGTGAGACACAGAAGAACAAATTACTTTTTCAGAGGCAAAGGGAAATGCCTGTACTCCCTCTCTTCCCTTTCAGTTTAGAGATGAAATTCCTATTTGTATAAAGATATAAAGAGTACCTCCTCATTGAATTTCCACACCTCCCATTTTTAATCTATAGCAGTGTACCTTCTGACAATTACATTCTCAAAAGATCTCATATTCAAAGGCATTAAACACTTTTATTTAAATGTTAAAAGAATGGTTAAAAATCTGGTGCAACGTAACTGCAACATTACCTGTTTAAGAGGAGGTAGAGGTACTTTATTAATTGATGAAAGTAGAACTTTTTTTTCTTAACATTTATTAAACCTGTTTGCTGCATCTTTTTATTTGATAACTATAGATACATAACAAACACCTGCCATTTCAACATTTTTTAGATGGATTATTCAGTGACATTAATAGCATCCATCATGTTGTACCATCATCACTGCCATTCATTTCCAAATTTTTCCATCACCCTGATTAGACACTTGATGACCTCAGAGCAAAGACTACTCATTCCTCATCCTAGATTTTCATACACTATTAACAAAAGAAACCAAAGAGATCATCTGAAAGGAACTTGAGAGTTATGAAAAACATTCCTTTAAGAATTTTTTATACTATGAACCCTTGAGTTATAAAACAAAGGAGTATGATTTGCAAGGACTAAGGTGCTGTTAGTTCTCTGGGGCACTGCTACCACTGGGTTCGATTCTACTTCAAACCAACTTGTCGCCTTTTGTTCACTAGAACATGAAATGAACAGATTATATACTTCGTAAGAAGTTTCATGAATAAAAATTTTTGTAGGATGTATCCTCATTTAAGACTTGGATGAAGGAAGCAGACTCTTTGCTGCATAAATAAATAACCCCACGATTTCAGAGAACTCAACAGTACCCTAAAGCCTATCGATGGATTCCTACAGAATCCATGGATTCTGCATGAAGAGCCTCCACTTTGCAGATGTACCAATGGCCACAACTTGGTTCTGCCTAAGTGGAATTGCCCTTTACCCGTATCTTTATTAATACATCATCAATCAGTTCCCTGCCACTATGCTAATTAGATAGTGCTTCATAAGCATTTCCATTCTACCTCAATGCTAATATTTTTTTAAATCTAGGCTATATTTATTAATGGGAGCTCTGGTAGCGTAGTGCCTAAGGCACTTGACTGCTAACTAGAAGGCTAGCAGTTCAAACCCACCAGCCACTCCTCGGAAGGAAGGTTGGGCAATCTACTTCCATAGTGATACCACCTCAGAAACCCAAGGAGGAGTCATTAGGAGTTGGGTCCAACTCAACGGCACATAACAACAACAACAACAACAATATTTATTAATAAGTATTATTAATAATAATTGCTAAAGTAGCTAATAAAACAATATTACAATGTTGTTTTGTTATTAGGTGCAGTCAAATTGGTTCCAACTCATACTGACCCTACAGACATCAAAACAAAACTTTGCCCCATCCTCTGCCACCCTCACAATCTTTGCTATGGTTGAGCCATGGTCAGAGCCACTGTGCCAATCCATCTCACTGAAGGTCTTCCTCTTTTCGTTGACCCTCTATTTTAACAAGCATCATGTCCTTCTCTAGGGATACCAAGTCCTTCTCCTGACACGTGAGACAAAGTCTTGCCATCCTCACTTCTAAGGAGCATACTGGCTGTACTTCTTCCAAGACACATTGGTTTGTTCTTCTGGAAGTCCCCGGTGTGTTCACTAATGTATTCTTAGTATTCACTAGTGTATTCTTCACTAATGCTGTAAGTCAAACACATCAATTCTTCTGCGATCTTCTTTATTCATTATCCAGTTCACACATGCATATGAGGTTACTGAAAATGCTATGGCTTGGGTCAGGCATACCTTAATCTTCAAAATGATAGCTTTACTTTTCAACACTTTAAAGAGATCTTTTGCAGCAGATTTGCCCAATGCAAGTCTAATTTGCCCATTTGATTTCCTGACTGCTGCTTCTATAGGCCTTGATTGTGGGTGCAAGTAAAATGAAATCCTGGACAACTTCAACCTTTTTTCCATTTATCATGATAGTGCTTATTGGTCCAGTTGTGAGGATTTTTGTCTTCTTTATGTTGAGGTACAATCCATACTGAAGTCTATAGTCTTTGATCTTCATCAGTAAGTGCTTCAAGTCATCTTCACTTTCAGCAAGCAAGGTTGTGTAATCTGCATATTGCAGGTTGTTAATGAGCTTTCCTCCAAATATTGTGTTCTTCTTCATGTAGTCCAGCGTCTCAGATTATTTGCTCACCATACAGAGTGAATATGTATGGTGAAAAGATACAACTGACACACATTTTTCCTGAATTTAAACCACACAATATCCTCTTGTTCCATTTGAATGGTTGCCTCTTTGATCTATGTACAGGTTCCACATGAGTACAATTAAGTATTCTGGAATTCCCATTCTTCACAATGTTATCCATCATTTGTTATGATCCACATAAATGCCTTTGCATAGTCAGTAACACACAGGTGAACATCTTTCTGGTATTCTCTGCTTTCAGCCAAGATTCATCTGATAACAGCAATGATATCCATCATTCCACATCCTCTTCTGAATATGGCTTGAATTTCTGTTCCCTGTCAATGTACTGCTGCTAATCCTTTTTGAATTATCTTCAGCATGTGATATTAATGACATTGTTTGATAATTTCTGCTTTCTGTTGGATCATCTTTCTCTGGAATGAGCACAAATATCACAATACGTGCACTTAATTATACCACTTCAAAACTTGTTTAGAAAGTATAGGTACTGTTGAAAGTCAAAAGCAAGTGAGAAAACTCAGAAAAAGCAAAAGAAAGCCAGGTGATTTGCAGCTGCAATGGTTTCAGGTATTCTAATTGGCTATCTTCCAGAACCAAGGATGCATCACTTTTTGACAGTAACTCAAAAAGCAAGATGTTTTAACATCAGGAAATTATGATTTGTACAGCAGATTATGTCTGGACAGTGATTTCCATGACCAGTTTCTTCTGAACAATAAAAATAAATTATTAAAAATAAGTAAGTAGCAGTTAGTTAGCTAGGACTAGTAATCACTGACTACAATAAAGGAGCCCTGGTGGCCCAGCTGGGTTAAGTGCATGACTGCTACTCAAAAGGTTGGCAGTTCAAACTCACTAGCCGCTCTGTGACAGACAGTGTAGCAGTCAGTTTCCACAAAGATTTACAGCCTTGGAAATCGTATGGGGCAGTTCTACTCTTTCCTATAGGGTCACTATGAGTTGGAATCAACTCGGCAGTAGTGGGTTTGGTTGTGGGTTTTTGGTTTGGTTTGGTTAAACTATGATAAACCCTTCTTTATCTTGATTTACCTAATATTTGGACAAAATTATTTCTTACCTCCTCCAACCTGTTATTGGGTGGATCTGTTTTTCAGGACAGCATGCTGTTGAAATTGCAGCAAAAGGCCATGCCAGTAATAAAATTAATGCAACCAGTAAGACACGAATTGGAAGCAGGATGATTCCAAGAAGGAAAATCTGAAAGTCAAAGTTGACAAAAATGGGTGAATGCACATTATTTTAATGCTGCAGTTAATATGAAAGGAAAGTTTTATGCTACTCATATACAAAACAAGGATGAAATGTGCCCTACTTTGTGCTAGACAATGACCTGAGCACTGAAGATACAAAGGAAAATAAAACATTGTATTTGACCTTACAAAGCCTACTATACGGCAAAAGAAACAGCAAAAAAAAACACAACTATTATAAGATAACTTGATTTGTATTCGATAGAGGTGAACAGAGAAGGCTGGGGAACTGAGAAAAGGAATTCTTGACTTAGCATTCAGGGAAATCTTCCTGGAAGAAGTCTTGAAAGAAAAGCAAAGTTAGCAAGGTTAAAGAGGGAAACTCTTCTTTGAGAACTGTAAGTTGAGGAAGAGTGCTAATAAAGGCATTAGCATGTAAAGGTATGGAAGAAAATGGAAGCTTTTATAAACTTGCTAGTTCTTTACATAAAGAGGTATGTTGTTGTGTGCCGTCGAGTTGGACCCGACTCATAGTGACCCCTCCTTGGGTTTCTGAGGCAGTATCACTACGGAAGTAGATTGCCCCATCTTCCTTCCGAGGAGTGGCTGGTGGGTTTGAACCGCCAGTCTTCTGGTTAGCAGTCAAATGCCTTAGCCACTATGCTACCAGAGCTCCCATAAAGAGGTATAGGAGGATGAAATTAAGAAAAGAAAAAAAAAACTATGAATAAGAATGAAAACAAAAATAAGAATGTTGTTATTAGTCACCAATGACTCGATTCTGACTCATGGTGATACCATGGACACAGTGTAGAACTGCTCCATAGGGTTTTCAATGACTGTGATCTTTCTTCTTTTCTTTATTTTTTATTGTGATTTGGGTACAAATTTACAAAGCAGATTTGTTTTACTCTCAGTAGTTCATGCACATTTGGTTTCATGGCCCTGATTACAATCCCCAACTATAAAAAGCTCCCCTCCCCTCCCCTCCCTGTGACTATCCCTTCCCTCTGCCCTTCTTATCCTTGCATTCCTGTCTGTCCAGCTTTCCCTCTACATGAATGCTACCCCTCTGATGTCTCATGGCTGACAGATCTAAGGGAGGCATCTCCCTAGGGTAGGTGGGTGCATCTCCCTGGGGTAGGTGTTCTGCTTACAGGTCTTTCTACTGTTGGGGTGAGAGCTAATGCATGGACGTGAGTCCATTTCCAGGCCCAAAGGATAACCCAACGCCATAGTCTCAGGGGTTCCACCAGTTTCTATTTGACCAGCAATTCTGGTCATTTTTTTGTTTTTTAATTTTGTTCCACAACTTCCATCCCACTCTATCCAGGATCTCCAATTTTGATCTCTTTCCAGGTGGTTGGCATTGGTAGCTGGGCACCATCTAGTTCTTCTGGTCTCAGGGTCATATAGGCTGAGGTCCTCGTGGTCCATCTTATCTCTGAACTAATTGTTTCCAAATGACTTAGCTTTTCTTCACTCTCCTTTGCTCCAAATAGAGAAGACCAATAGCTGCATCTTAAATGGGTACTCAAAAGCTTTTAGGACTCCAGTCACTACTCACCAAAGCAGGATGTAGAATGAGATTTTTATGTACTATGTTGTGCCAATTGAGCATTATGTCCCCCAAGACTATGGTCCCGAGCCTGCAGGTCCAGTGATTGTTTCCCTCAAGGTGTTTGGTTGTCTCTGAGAAGCTACTCCAACTTTGTCCTCTGTTACTTCTGTAATGTATATGGATAATTTTGTAGCACAAGTACATATGTAAGACTATCTTCAGCCAAATCTATCCTTGGTCTTTGGTATATTCCTGTTCACCTACCCCCACCCGATCGTCTCACCTGTCTATGCATTTACCCATAACATAGTGTATGCTGCCACTGATAATACAATATTGTGCCTGTAATGGAATTTGCCTCTGTTGTCTATATCTTTTGTGCATGTTTCTGTGTCTTCCCTTTCCCCATTGTCCCTGTGCTGGTCACAGACTCTTTCCATACTGCCCCTCCCCTCACCCAAATCAACATGTGACCCCTGATGAGTCCGAAACTCCCCTACTTCCCTCCCAAATCCAGTAACCAACAAAGTGAATTTCCTTCCCTGCATGAACCTTTCCTTAACTTTTTACAATAATGGACTCATATAATATTTATCCTTCTGTGACTTATTTCACTCAGCATAATGTCCTCCAAATTTATCCATGTTGTGAGATGATTCATGTATTCTTCATTATTCCTTAATGTTGCATAGTATTCCATTGTGTGCATGTAATAGTTTGGTTATCCATTCATCTGTTAATGGGCATTTAGATTGTCTCCATCTCTTTGCTATAGTGATTTGTGGTACTATGAATATGGGTGTGTATATGTCTATTCATAGCCTGTCTCTTACTTCTTTAGGGTATATTCCTAGTAATGGAATTGCTGGATCAAATGGTATTTTTATTTTCAGTATTTTTTAGGAAATGCCATACTGTTTTCCACAGTGGCTGTACCATTTTATGGTCCCACCAGCAGTGTATGAGAGTTCCAATCTCTCCTCACCCTTGCCAGCACTTGTTATTTTCTGTCTTGTTGAACTTTGCTATTATTGCTGGATTGAGATAATATCTCACTGTTGTTTTGACTTGCATCTCTCTAATAGCTAATGATCATGAGCATTTCCTCATGTGTTTGTTAGCCACCTGTATATCTTCTTTAGTGAAGTGTCTATTCATGCCCTTTGCCCATTTCTGAATTTGATTGCCTTTTTGGTGTTGACGTGTTGAAGTTTTCTATAAAGTTTAGAAATGAGTCCCTTGACAGATATGTCATAGCCAAATATTTTTTCCCATTCTGTAGGTTCTCTTTCTACCTTTTTGGAGATGTCTTTCGATACACATAAATACTTAATTTTTAAAAGGTCCCAGTCATCTAGTTTCTCTTCCACTGCTTGTGCATTTTGGGTTATATTTGATAGTCTATTCATCCCATAAATTAGGGTCTCTAGATTTGCCCCATTTTATCTTTGATGCACTTTATAGTTTTGGGTTTTACATTTAAGTCTTTGATCCAACTTGAGTTTGTTTTTGTGTATGGAGTGAGGTATGGGTCTTGTTTCATTTTTCTGCAAGTGGATATCCAATTCTGCCAGCACCATTTGTTAAAAAGGCTATCTCTCCCTGATTTAATGGGTTTTGGCCCTTTGTCAAAGATCAGCTATCTACAGATGGATTGGCCTACTTCTGGGTTTTCAATTCTGTTCCATTGGTATATTTGTCGATTGCTGTACCAATACCACACTATTTTGACTACTCTGGCTGTATAGTAGGTTTTGAGATCTGCGAGTCTGAGACCTCCTACTTTCTTTTTCTTCTTCATCAGTGTTTTGCTTATCTGAGGTCTCTTTGCTTTTCATATGAATTCAGTGAATGGTTTTTCCATGTCCTTAAAGAATGTTGATGGAATCTGGATCAGGATTGCATTGAATGTATAGATTGCTTTGGGTAAGACTGACATTTTCACAATATTCAATCTCCCTAACCAGAAGCATGCATTGTTCTTCCAGTTATGTAGATCTCTTGTAGTTAGTTTCTTGTAGTAGCATTTTGTAGTTTTCTTTGTATAGGTCTTTTGTGTCCCTGGTAAGATTTATTCCCAAGTATATTATCTTTTTGGTAGCTATTATAAATGGTATTGTTTTCCTCTTTTCCTTTTCAGAGGTCTCTCTGTTGATGTAGAGGAATCCAACTGATTTTTGTATGTTGACTCTGTATCCTGCCACTTTGCTGAAACTTTCTATTAGTTACAGTTTTTTTTTTTTTTTTTTTTGCCAAGTCTCTTGGGTTTTCTATGTATAGGATCATGTCATCTGCGAACAGAGATAGCTTTACTTGTTCTTTGGCAATTTGGATGCTTTTTATTTATCTTTCTTGCCTTATTAGCCTGGCTAGGGTTTCCAATACAATGTTAAATAGAAGTGATGATAGAGGGCCTCCTTGTCTGGTTCCCATTTGCAAGGGGACTGCTTTGAGCCTTCCTCCATTGACAGTAATGTTAGCTGTTGGTTTTGCATATATGCATATATCCCCTTTATTATGTTGAGGATTTTCCCTTTTATTCTGTTCAGAGTTTTGAACAGGAATGAGTGTTGGATTTTATCAATTGCCTTTTCTGCATCAATTGGCATGTCCAATGCCTGTGATCTTTCTTGATGCTACATAACTTATTTAACTTGTCAAAGAACAAAATCTCCTATCTGTCAGTAGTAAGAACAGAGTTTTATTGAGGAATAGCAATTAAAGTTGGGCAGCACAAAGTGAAAGTACAGTGTGCTCTGCCATTCTGAAAAATGTGGCTAGCCAGCAAGGCCAAATAGGGAGGAACAAATTTAAAACAAACTCAAGCAAAACAAGGTCAACACAAAACACCCAGGGAAATAAAGTAGATCTTCTTTATTAATCTAGATGCTGGTAAGGTTTTAAGAAGAGAACTCAAAGTAGAAGGAGCTATAGACATAACATGTGGTAAAACGTCTAATTGGGATGGAGGATCAGTTTTCTTCTAAGGACTCAGCTTTCTTGAATTACATTACTCTTTGCATTTCTAGTGCATTTCATTTTGGTTGCAGGTGTTAGACAAACATTTCATACAACATTTGATTAATCCTACAATGATCAGTAAAGAAGTTAAAAGAATTAAGCCAGTTTGTAATGTGAAACAAACCAACTAAAAATATCTAGAAAAGGAGCATCAGGTATAGGAGGTACTGAAGTTTTTTGGCAAACAGTCCAGCTTTTTAACAAATTTTCCTGATGTCTTGCTCAACTTCTCCAGTGGTGTTTATCCAAGTGCAGCTAGAGGTATTAACAATAGCACTAGCATATCCTTGCAGGACTAGAAGGAAATAAAGAACTATTATATTGTCTAGTACTACCTTAGCCAGAGATTCTAAAGATCTTTGCTGAGCAGTCATTCTATCTACACAATGTCATCTGCAATCTGAGCCAGGGTTGTAGATAAATTG